ATTGTTAATGGAAATCTAATGGACTTAATGTATGAGTCACTGGTGCATTAAGCAAATTCTTCGTTCTTATTTAGATTTCTCGTATCAGCCATTAAGTAATTTCCCCGCAAAAACTTTGAAGGTATTTCGAAAATCTTTCGTTTTTTGTAACAGAATATTTGATGAATTTGAAACTAAATTCCGATTTGAAAATATTTATATTATTCACTCCTCAAATTATATATTCTAGATTGATCGATATTTCATATACGTACGAAAATTATTAAGCACAACAATAGAACTAATTACTATTATTTCCTATGAAACAAAAATTTATAGGAAAATATTTATTAAATTCCTTAATGAATATCGTCATTCATTTCAGCTGTAACGTACCAGTAATTTCATCAAAACCAATGTTCATAATACAGGGGTTGGACAAAATAAGGGGAACACCTGACATTTTGACATCGTAATTTTTGAACATGTTATAAACAATGACAGCGTGACATATTTCTATGTTTATTGTTGCGGCTAATTGCGGCTGATTTATCTTTGAACAGAATTTTCTAAGAAATTTTTGTGTCTATAACCTAAACTATAACCCATAAATGGCAAACATCCCTAACTTTCAAAGAGGCTACATTGTTGGTGCCCGTATAGCAGGTGCTAGTGTGACAGAAACTTCCCGAATGCTTGACGTTTCTCGAGGTAAATGTTGTTACTGTCACAAAAGTAATGACTGCTTTTGAAAGCGAAGGAAAAACGTCCTCATCAAAGCACAGGTCTGGTCGAAAGTTGAAGTTGTCTGGGAGAGACCGTCGGTATATAAATCGAATTGCGAGTTGCGATCGAAAGACCAAGGCTGTTAAAATTACTGCAGACGTCAACATGAACACCTACAGAACCCAGTTTCCATTAAGACTGTCCGCCGAGAGCTGCACAGATCTGGATTCTATGGAAGAGCTGAAATTAGAAAACCTCTGGTTTCAAATTCAAATGCTTCAAAGCGTTTAGAGTGTTTAGAGTGGTGTAAATTGGCCCCTCGAGCAATGGAATAATGTTATGAAGAATCATAGTTTACCTTATTTCCAATTTTTGGCCGAGTTTACGTTTGGAGACAGCCAAAAGAGTCATTTAATTTCGACTGCCTCCTCCCAACCGTGAAACTTCGCGGTGGATCTGTGATGATCTGAGGTGCTATTTCTTGGAAATCCGAAGGACCATTGATTTTTCTTCATGGAAGAATCAACAGCTATGACTATTTAGTAATTTTGGAGGACCAAGTTCATGCAAAGGTTCAAGCACTGATTCCGGAATGGAACACCGTCATTCAAGATGATAATGCCTCGATCCATACAGCTGGAATTGTTAAAAAATGACACGAGGATCATTCTAATGAAGTCTTTATTCAGAAATTTCAGAGATGAAAATCAAAAGTCAATTCCCGCCGTTATCGTTTTTAAAAGAGCTGTAGGGCGTATTGATTGAAGAAT